ACATGAAACTACCACACGAGCGTCCGGGCTGCGCTTGGCTCTTCGCCTGTTCGGGAAGTCGAACAATGATGGAGTACTACTGCACTGGAGGAGTACTACAGTATGCTTCTGGCCATCTGATACCGATTGAACTGCTGCATGTCCACCGCGTGCGGGAGGGAGAGCGTGTAGCGAAAGCTTCTCCTAGTCTTGCCAGCCACCATGCTCATGGGCGAGGGAGGGACGCTCCTGCCTTTGCGTGTATGACAGGTGGACCTGACACGTGTGTGGCCAACCTGTCATACAGCCAAAGGCAGGTGCAGTTAAGTCCGCGAGGGAGAGGATAATCAAACTTCTCGTTGATGTACGAGTTGACGCGACACATCAAAGCACTGCACTCGATATATTTAAATAATTTGCGTTTACCGATGCATAAAAAACTCATATCTACTATCCATACTACAATTTTATCACCATCTCTTCGCTGAACTAGTGCACCTATACAATTTGCCATTGTATTGGGTGTGTTGGGGACACAAGAGATTTCTCGTATTTGATTGCAGGGTTGCTTGAGAGAGACTATCTTAATCCTACGCCTCCCATGGATTAATAAACCTTAGGTCATCCACTTGAGGGAAAATTGCTACAAAACTCTGCGCTTGGAGGCCCAACACGAGTCTACAAGAATAAAGTTGCGTAGTAGACATTAGTATCCGGAGTAGGCGTTGAGGAAGCACAGTGAGTCGTGTCCGGCGGTGGCGTTGATGATCTGGTCTATGGGAGGTAAAGGGAAGGGATCCTTAGGGCAGGCTTTATTTATGTCTTTAAAATCGACGCACAGCCGCCAGGATTTGTCCTTGTTGGGCACCATGACCTGATTTGCCAACCACTCGTGGTGTTTGATTTCTTGGATGAATCCGGCTTCGAGTAATTTTGCTATTCTTCCCCCATAGCTTGACACGTGGGTTTGGAAAATCGGCACTGCTTCTGTTTGACTAGCTTAAAGCCCTTGATTATGTTCAGGCTATGCTCTGCTAGTCTTTGTGGGATTCCTGGCATGTCTGAGGGGTGCTAGACAAATATGTCCCATTTTTTGAGCAAGAATGTGCGCAATGCTTCATCAACTGCGTGGTCCAGCTGAGCTCTAATGGACGTTGTTTTGTTGGGGTCCGTTGGATGTACTTGGAATTTCATGATTTCATTTTTTGGCTTGAAGGATGTGGATTTGGGCCTTTTACTGAGGATTACATCGTCCCTATCCACCATTGAGCGGTGTGTGGTTAATTCCTCGGCTGTGAGCGCCTCGGATAGTGCTTTGAGGGTGAGCGATGATGTTTTGTTTTCGGCTCGAAGAGCTCTATCCGGATCGCTTGCAATTGTGATCAGGCCATTGGTCCTAGGCATTTGAGTTTCTTATACCGTAAAGTGGTATAGCCTAAAACCTTGCGAATGCGTCACACCCCAATGGAGCGTGGTAACCTCTATGGAAGGGCACAAAGTGGAAGAGTAGTTCTCCAGACCTGTAGTTCTCGGGAGTGCCGAATACTACTTTGAGAGTGACTTGTCTGGAGTAGCGTGCTTCTTTGCCGGGGATAATTCCTCGAAAGGTAGTGTAACTTTGTTCAATGTGAGATCTGTCGAATTGCATTTTGTCAAGGGTGTCCTCATAGATGAGGTTTAAACCGCTGCCCTCGTCCATTAGCACCATGTGAAGTCTAAAGCCGTCCACTATGGGATCGAGGACTAGGGCGGTGGGTGCTCGGATGGGTGGGCCCTTGGCTCGTCTTCCTTGTCAAAGGTGATTGGTGTGTCCGTCCATGAATTTGATGTTGTCACCTGGTGGATTTGACCGAGATCTTGAAGGGCTCTCTTCCTCTTGTTCTTTGAGGAAAACGTCTTGTAGATCATCGGGATCCGAGTGTCATTGTCCGAGGGTGTTTCTGATCGTCTGGTGGAGGGTGAGAGTCCAAGGATAGCCTCTCCACTCATTGCGACTTGCCTGGCCACCTAGCAATCTCGAAGGTTGTGGGTTGGGTCTATGTTCAGCAGGACCGAGCGTATGGCACATGCATTGTCCAGTAGCTTGTCGAGGACTGTTCTGGCTCCTGTAAGATGTTTGTTGTTTTTCTCTCCGGGCTCATGTTCGGCCAAACATCGCGAGTGCACGCGCTTTGCCCGACCTTGTCTGGGTTCTTTGGCATGGATTGACTCCACGTGCATTTGCTGAGCCTGTCAGGCACTTTCCATGGCGCAATATTTGTGTACCAGATCTGATAGTTCAACAAAGTTTTGAACATGGCGACGGGCGAGGGAATTCAAGATTCCTTCTTCCCACTAGTCATGCTGAAAAGTCGCTATGATTTCCCGGCCGCTGCAGTCTGTCATTCTATTTTTTACAAGGAGGAATCTGGCCTAGAAGTGATGGACTGTTTCTCCGGGCTATTGCTTTATTTACATTAGATCCCATATGCCGGGTTTCCCTGAGTTACTTGGAGAGTACTCAATGGGGGGTGGGTGGCAAAAAACTTGTATCCCAATGGGTTGTGGGTCCCGGGATTTGGCGGTGGTGTCCTGCACCATCGCGGCATCTGGCACGCCAGGCTCGGTATCCAGACTGTCAACCGGGTACTGTTGCGCAGACTCGAGGTCAAGCTTGGAGTCGTGGCTTGATTTCGGGCTCCTTCCAGGATGAACATCGGATTCCGAGATGGATGCCTGGACCAAATAATCAGAAATCCAAACATAATCCATTTTTAGCTCTGGTGACTGTGAGCCTTCGGCCAAATCCTCGATGGTGGTGATGAGGTGTGTGACAGGTGGGACGTAAATTTCCCTGTTATCAAGTTTAAGCCCGATCTGATCATAGACTGAGGATTGGCCGTCAGAAATTCCCATGGACTGATTCCGGTCTAATAGCTCATTCAAAGATGAGAGGTCCATTGGGTCCATGCTCCTGGCATATCCAGGATCGATCCAAAGTGTCGCTGCTCCAGGGGCGTTCGAAGTCGCACCTGGGCTGCATTCGGCCGGATCCAATCCAAACGTATCGACGGGGTCGGGCTTTAAGGCTGGACCTAGGGTGACAATAGTCCCAATGAAGTTTACTTCTCTCGGAGTTAAAGCGTCGGGATTTGCAAGCTCTTTAAGGGGCGCGGAAGATTTTGTCATAATAAGATCTCCCCGGGAGTCGGCAACGAACTCTAGGTTTCCAAACTTGATCTCCTGATTAGGGCAAAATTTCTGACCTAGCCGAGGCGGCCATTCTGATCGGCGTGCAGCATGGTACAGCCAAACACGAAGGTCTGCCCGGGGATGAAGGTGTCCCCGCTGCGGATGCCGTTGTTGACACTACTAGGAAAAGGGCTATAGATGAAATGGACACTAATGGCGCACCAGACATGTGGTGCGCCACTACAATATACTAATGGCGCACCATGTGTTGGTGCACCATTAGTGTTCAAATACTAATGGCGCACCACATCCACAGTGCGCCATTAGTAACAAATTTTTTTAATTTTTTTTCAAAACTAGTAATGGCGCATCAGGGGATAGTGTGCCATTACTAGTTTGCGCACCACATCCATGGTGCGCCATTAGTAAAAAAATCATTTTTTTTATTTTTTTTTATTTTTTTTTTCAAAACTAGTAATGGCGCACCAGCGGATGGCACACCACATCCACGGTGCGCCACTAGTAATTTTTTTTCAATTTTCAAAACTAGTATTGGCGCACCGTGGGAGTGGTGTGCCATTACTAGTTGAACTAGTAATGGCGCACCACTCCGACGGTGCGCCATTACTAACTTGGCCCAAAAATTCCCCTGAATGCACCCCATGGACTGCCTTTTCAGTTTAAAAAAAAGAAAATGATGAAAATGTCAAAAAAATAAAAGAAAATAAGTTTCTCATGTGATATGTGGTGTAGTTGTTGGGAAAATTTACAAATATGAATTTTGACTTTATTTGCAAAATCTCTCTGGATTTTGTAAAATGGGCATAACTTTTGCATACAAACTCGGATTAAAAAGTTTTCTATATGAAAAATCATCTACTCGAAAAGTTACATCCGAATTTAACGGGGGAACCCCGTTAAACATTTTCAAAATCCTCAAAAACCTAACAGAAAAAAGTTACGGAGCTTTTAAAATCTGGAGGCACAAAAATTCAAACTTACTAGTGGCGCACCGTTTGCTAGGTGCGCCACTAGTAACAGAAAAAAATTAGTTTCGATTTTTTTTGGATTTTTTTTCCAATATATGATACGTAATATGAATGGAAGTTTGAAATATTTTTTCAAAATTTCATCATACTCATGAACATAAACAAAGTCCTAAACATCAACAATGTTTAATAGGATTGATATGCTAGATATATCAACAAGTGCCTGTGAAGTGAGCTGGTGCTGGGGTTCGATAGAACTCTAAACTTAAGCGTGCTTGGGCTGGAGTAGTGTGAGGATGGGTGACCTTTCGGGAAGTTTGACCACGGAGTGCGATTTGACCCGAGATTAAGAAAAAACGAAAAAAAATAAAAAAATGATTTTTTTTTAAAAAAAAATTATTACTAATGGCGCACTTCTATGTGGTGCGCCATTACTAAGTCAGATAGTAATAGCGCACCTCTAGGCATACTAATGGCGCACTACAGGTGCGCCATTAGTATCTGGTAGTAAAAAATACTAGTGGTGTGGTACTAGTGACGCACCAGTAGTGCGCCATTAGTAGGCAAAACTGGTGCGCCACTAGTAGGCCTTTTCCTAGTAGTGTGATGACTAGGCGAGCCATCGATCCTTCGGTGATCCAACAACGGAACTTTCCATTAAAGCACCAATGTCGGTGTCAGGGCCGGCTCCAGGAATTCGGGGGCCCGGTGCGAAAAGAAAAATGGGGCCCTAAATTTTAAAAAATATACAATTACGCAAGCATAATCACCTAATTATGTAATTAAAATTTATATTATTTCATACAATGCTTAGAATATTCTGAAGTATCAATGCGAAATACTAAAACCAATAAACTGACCTCATTCTCTATTGAAAAGTGTCATCCGTCTTGTGTTTCTTGAAATGAAATCTTCAATTACATCTTCATAATTAATCTTCTCCAAGACATCATTTTCAAGTGCTATTGTCGCCAAACCATTGAGTCTTTCTTGTGTCATAGTTGAACGCAAATATGATTTCAACAACTTGAGTTTAGAGAAGCTCCTTTCCGCAGTTGCAACAGTTACAGGAATGGTTAACAAAATCATGTACGCAATAATAGCATTAGGATAGAAGGGGCGCTTCATCAGAATCTCAAGAATATCAACGGGGCCCATAGATTTCTTAACTAAATCCTAGATGAAAATTAACTCGTAAAACAATTCAGCTCCATCAATGTCTTTGTGTTCTCCACTCTTAAGTGCATCCTCAAGATTAACACAAGCAGCCAGGAAACTCTTATCATCCATAGATCGCAGCCTATCTGAAGTAAATAAGAAACCAAAAGTTTTTTCATACCCCTGATATTGCTCAAACCTCCTGGTAAGTGAAACTATAGCTTGATCAACCACTTGCAGAAAATAATTGACCCTAAATGACTCCTCTGCAGATTGTGAAGCAATAGATACATCATCTGCACCCTCATCGAATTGTCTTCTTCTTTTGATTTTCCGCTTGGTGCGGAACTCTGGATGAATATCCATCTCCAGTGCAATTTCTTTTGCATCTTCCAATGCTTTTGAAAAGCCAGTTTCTCTATACTTCTTGAAAAAGGAAAGCAGACCCTGTATACACTCAATTGCAATATCAATAAGCATGTCCTTTGATTGTAGTTGCTTGCTGACCAAATTAACAGCGGATAATATATCATACCAGATAATTATTAACACTAAAAATTCAAAACCACCTAGTTCATTTTCTGCCAATGATTGTGCTTCACTACTTGTCAATGGATCCTTATCAGTTTCAGCCACTTGTAGTAAAGCCTCCCTTATTTCTGGTATTTGAATCCGTATACCTTAACACTCTCAACATGACTCTCCCAACGAGTAGATGACAATGACTTGACAGTTAACTTCTTTAAGTTATCTTTGAGAATTTGCCATTGTTAAGTTATATTTGAGAATTAGTTGGGCGGCACCGCGGCAGTGTCGGCCGGCCGTCGGCGCGACGGCGTCCAGCACTAGAAAGTAGTCCGCTTCTTGCCCGTCGGCCGTCGCCTTGCTGAACCTGCAAGGTTGTAACGCGATCGCCACCGAGCCGCCGATTCAGTCGGAAGCGATGGGGAGATGGAAAGCCTAGCGATCAGGCAGGGAATAGGAAGCAGAAGTTACGGAACATACTGCGTTGGGGCTGTCGTTTCGTCTACGATCGATCAATCCACGCGACGGGAAAGCGTATCGCTGAGACTTGACGGGACCAGGCCCAAGAAGGCCTAAACTGAATTTTTTTCAGACTATACATATATGTATATGGACCCTAGTTGGGGGCCCTGTGCGAGCGCACAGCTCGCACAGGCCCTTGGATGGCCCTGGTCGGTGTGAAAACTGACCATCTCGGGAAGGGGGTCCCGAGCTATGGATCTTGGATCAATGGGTAACAAGGGACAAAGGAGACGATGTTTACCCAGGTTCGTGCCATCTCGAAGAGGTAAAACCCTACATCCTTCTCGCTTATATTAAAGTGTATATAATGGTTACAGAGTCGATCTACCATGAGATCAGATGAACTAAACCCTATATGAGTAGGATGATGGTTCTTCTTCTAGCCTCTACGAACTAAACCCTCTGGTTTATATAGATACCAGGGGTACTAGAGTTACATAAACCTGGGCAAACGTCGGGCCGGGCCGGGTTTCGGGCCGGGCTTGTAAAAGCCCGACCTTCATTTCTCAAGCCCGAGCCCGGCCCGAAGCCCGAAATACTCCACATTTTCAAGCCCGAGCCTGGCCCGAAATCAAGCCCGAAGCCCGAAAGCCCGGCCCGAATGCTATTTTTTAGTACGCGCACGTGCAAGCCCGGCCCGAAATACGGAAAAAATGAAGCCCGAGCCCGGCCCGAACTATCTTTTGGGCTGCAAAACAAAGCCCGAGCCCGGCCCGAATGTCAAGCCCGGGCCGGCCCGGCCCGGGTTTTTCGGGTCGGGCTCGGGCCGGGTCGTCGGGCCGGGCTGCCCATGCCCGGGTTTAGGGTTACACATGGTCGGTTACAATGAAGGAATACACATGCCGATTCTCTTATCTTGACTTGGAGGACACACCAAGGCTCCAAAGGTTTCCTGTCCGGATACGGAGTCGCCTTATAGCTCGGCCTTATAGTAGTCGGAGTGCAGCCCACCTATCCGGCCCATAAGAGATAGGCCAACAGTCCGAGGACCCCTTAGTCTAGGACTCCCTCACCACCGCCTCCTACATGACCTGACCGCTGGCACGACACCTTTCACCTAAATCCCCACCCTATCCTCCAAAAAATCGCCGCTCAAAGCCATGGTGCACGCAGTATAGCTAGCAGCTCAAGGAGCATTTGGCAGTGGAGAAGCAAATCGCGGTTGCACGCGAGGATCAGGTCGCGATGGCTGCCATGCATGCTGACCCCTAGATCTTGGAGGAGCACCTCGTCGTTGAGGACACCATCAATGCCTCATGCTCGGACGCTGCCATGGCAGTTTGCTGCTTTAAATGAAAGTTCATGGTGTTTTATCAAGGCCACTGTTGGTGCCTCTAATGAAGACTGAGGTGTTTTCTTAGCGTGCCCGTGCTTAGTTACCTCAATTCCAAAGCCAATAGGTTGGTGCCCAGACTGACTCAGACGACTCACCACGACAAGGAGGGCACCCACAATGTGGAGGCTTGGCCCTCTTCCAAGTTTAAGGATCCCATCGTTATCCATATCTTCAATGATGAGGAGTAGCTTATTTGTTTTAGCTTACTAAGGACCTAGGTTCAGCTACCTATGCTAGTTAAGTTTGTTCGGTTTACCTATTGCATGTGTTGCTCCTGTCTTTCCTTTAGAAATTTTAGTCAATTGTCCAATGTAGTGTTACTATGCAATCCGATCTTCTAGTATGTTATATTGTGCAATGTCGTGCTTAGTTAACTGTTTGGTTCATTTATTGTGGTGTTTAGTTAACTGTTTGGTTCAATTCTGCAATGTGTTGTTCAATTATTGTGTCTATAATTTTGTATTGTTATGTATGTGAGAAATAAATCAAATTTGGCTATACTAAATACATGAGAAACATACAATTGCTATATTTTCTACTCCCACCATTCCTAAATATAAGTCTTTCTAGAGATTTTAATATGAACTACATACAGATGTATATACACATAGTTTACAGTGCAGATTCACTCATTTTGCTCTGTATGTTGTCCATATTGAAGTCTTTAAAAAGACTTATATTTAGGAACGGGGGGAGTAGTTGTTAAGCAAACTTGGTTTGGTTTACTGGCTTTTCCATGTGGCTTGAATTAGTCTGTTGGATCTGCAATGTGTTTATTTTTCATTAGCCTATTTTATTGATAGTATGCAACTCTCACTTAACCTGATCAATATCTACCGTATGTTTGTAGGGTAACAAAGGGAGACAATGAGGCTTAACATCCATGTTTGCACATGGTCCTTTGGCTAATAGCACACTATTGTGCAATTTGCAGGAACTGTTCTAATATTTAGGTTTTCAATAGTTTGGTCTTGCATATGTAGGTCCTGCTGTCAGAGATATAGACCCACCGTTCGACCCATTTTGCATACGGGGAAATGAGATGTCCATGAATATCAGTGAAGTCACGAAATTCAAAAAGATTGTTAGGATAAAGAAACTAGCAATGAAAAATGACAAGATCTTTGTCTGCATAATGAAGAAGACACCAGTCAACTATAGGATGGTACTAACTCTTTTACTTTGTTTTTTTTATGCGCCCTTTCAAAATTTAGTAAAGATATTTATGCATATATTTATTTTCAGTCCTTTCCAAAGCAGTTCACTGATGATTACATCTCAAACCACCGGTATGGTCAAGAGGTGAGGAAGGTATTCATACAACATCCACGGTATAATATTGAAGTCTTTCTCAAGAGGACGAAGGATGGGCAGGCAATCATCCACATGGAGTAGCCTAAAGTTGCAAGGACCTTCAACATCATTAAAGGGTCAACATATATTCACCTTCCGCTTCAGCAGATTTCGAGATGAGATTTATCTGACTACTTAGCATCTATGATGCTACTTTTCAAAGGTTTTAGATGTTGCATGTGAAACTTGTTGCTATTATGTAATGGGGTCTGAACTAGCCATATGGTATAACTGAGTGCTGAACTAGCTATGTGATTATGTACTCTGATGTATTTCAATTATGGAATCCGGGTAGACGTCACATGATTATGAAATATATGTGTGCTTGATATGAAATGTCAATTTGATTACTGAATGGATAAGAAATAATAGGCTAATTAGCCTACTTATTGGGTTTTTATACTGCAGACGGGTACACATACAACTTCGTGGGCGATGATCTTAGAGAACCCCACAGTTTCTAGAAAATACAAATGTGAGATCAATGAACGTCCACACATGACGTTTCCCAGATAAGCGTTTGCGTTAGGCCACCTTGCACAAACATTTTCCCGGAAAAAGTGTGTGTGATGGACAACATTATGTCATATACTCCCTCCGTTCCTAAATGTAAGGTGTATTATTTTTTCAAAAAGTCAAACTTCTCCAACTTTGACCAAGTTTATAGACAAAAACATCAATATCTAGAATACCAAATCATCATCACTAGATTCACCATGAAATATATTTTTGTATTTGATATATTTAGTATTGTAAATCTTTCTATATTTTGCTATAAAGTTGGTCAAACACATACACCGTTTGACTTTTTGAAAAATTAATACACCTTATATTTAGGAATGGAGGGAGTAGTTTCTTCTAGCTAGGCATGTGTGTGATGTACTTGAATAACGCAAACGATATACACGGAAAAAACATTTGCCACCCCTATCATAGACGAGTTTATGCAAAACATTGTGTGTGATGCACCATTCTAAGGAAAAGTTTTATTCGGAATTCATTGTGTGGGAAGCTAAGCACATGTCACATGATTTGTCCCGCACAATTGTTTGCGATAGCTCATCCGATTGCACACGAGCTCTTTTGCTCCGAGTGCGTGACCGATGGACCTATCGCTGATGATTTATCAGGGTCGTGTGGGATGGACCTGTTGGGGAACGTAGTAATTTCAAAAAAATTCCTACGCACACGCAAGATCATGGTGATGCATAGCAACGAGGGGAGAGTATGATCTACGTACCCTTGTAGATCACAACGGAAGCGT